TTGTTACTCTCTTTGTCCTCTTGAGAGAGATGAGAAAAATTCCCTGTATCTCTCTACCAAACAGCAACCTAGGGCCCCTGGGCACCAGCACCACCAACCACCACAGGGAAATCCCAGTCCTCTTATCTGAGGAATGGTTGCTTAATCATCAAACACTGTTGATCAAGAGATTAAAAGTTAATTTGGTAAATTCTAACTACCCACATTCTTGATATAAGTTTATTTTTATAGACATTAGTTCAGTTATTTTCTTTTAACTTTGTCTTACAGTTAAGCAGCCCATCAAAAATGAACAAATAACTGATTTACTCAATACAAATCCTTATGGAGCCCAAATCATCTGATCAACTCTGTATTAAATCCTGATAGCATCTCAAAATCAGTAAGAAACATAGACTTTATCCTGTATGAGTTATAATCTTTGAGGTACCAATGATACATTGCCCATAGAAAAATCCAGGGCAAAGACATATTAATGGAATATTAGTTATGAAATGAGTTAAAAATTTTTACAGTAGGGAAATATTTTGGAAAAAAAACTTAGCTTTGAATTTAGAAGTCCAAAAGACCTTTGTGCTGTGTAATACTGTAGACCAAAAAAAAAAAAAAAATGGAATCCAAAACTAGCCAGGAGCAAAATGTAATCAAAGAAATACCATTTCCCATGCATTTGAATGAATATAATCAAAAAGATAGATAACAGTAAATGTTAATGAGCATGTAGAGAAACTGAACTCCTCATACAGATAGTATAAGTGTAAAATGGTGCAACCACTTTACAAAACAGTTTAACAACTCTAAACATTTAAAAAACTGACTTAGTATATGACCTAGCAGTTCCACTGTCAGGTATATACCCAAGAGAAACAAAAACATATGTCACACTAAACTTTTATACAAATGTTCATACCAGCAATACTCTTTGCACTAAAAAGTAAAACCAACCCAAATCACCACTAATGCATGGCTTACGTTATTTAGAGGAAATGTTATTCGCAATGAAAAGCAAAATATTACTGATACATAAAGCAACATGGATAAACCTTGGAAAAATTATGCTAAGTAAAAGATGCCAGACACAACAGGTCACACACTACATGAATGTGTTTATATTAAATTCCTAGGATAGGAAAGTCAGTGAAGACAGACAGTAGACCAGTGTTTACCTAGCTTTAGTGAGAAGAGATTGGAAGATGATAGCTAGTGGGTGGAGTGTTTCATTTTGGGAAAACAAACTACAGCTTGATTATGGTGAGGGTTGCACAGCTCTCAAATTTTCATTTAGGTTATTCTTATAAATCATACAAATTATATGCACTTCTTTTATTCTTCTAGTTTGATGTTTCCAGAGGTATTTCCAAGCTTTTTAGGCGGAAACTACAGCCCTGTGGGTGGTTGTTACTCCAGGTCAGTCCACTCCCCTTGGAGAGGCTGTGCCGCTCCCATCCGCTTGGAATGTTTGCCACCCGTGTCCCTCACTTTCCTTTGTTGTTGAAGACATAGCAATGTCCTATTAAACTTTAAAGGTTTTTATAAGTAATTCTTGCTTTCTCATGCTCTCAATCAAAAAAGTCAGTAAGGAATAATCCAAACCAGAATTGGCTTACAATTTAGATTTTTATTTATTTTTTAATCATGTATGTCCTTTTAACACAAAAATAAAATTGAATCTGTTTCAGATAGAGAATCTGCACTCTCATAGGATAATACTCTTAGAGATAAAGGAAAACTATCTGAGGCATTTCTTGTAGTCAGGGAAAACCAACTACAGAATTTAAGAATTACCATAAAATGTAGCCCACTGAGGGTTACTGATTTTTTTACTGAGCTGTTACCAGAGCTACAACTGACACCTCATTGTGCCAGAAACAAAACTGAGCACATCATATAAGAAAACACATCATAAATATTTTAATAAAATGTTCTTTTAAAATATTCTAGATCTCTTGCTGGCTCAGTACTGGACCACCTTTTAAGAGACTTGGATTTGTATTGTGGAGTTAATATTTACTAACCATAAAAATCCTGCCTGTTGTAGTCAGGGGTTGTACACAGAGAACAATTCAGATCAGGACATGGAGTTTATAATATTTTTATAATGGTCACCGGAGTTAACACCAGAAAATGCAGGAAATTTATCCACAACAACAAAGACATAGATTATTTAGTCAAAGGGTCTAAACCCCATAGCACATGTCCCATATGAGTCCAGATAAAAATCCAGAGCTCAGGACAATGCCTCCCACGAGCCCAACTGGAGGTCCAGAGCCCACAAGAAGGACTCACGAAAGTCCCTTTTACGGATCCGTGCCAGGAAGACCCAAGGGTCAGCAGTGGAAGCCAGAAAGTCTATGCCAGCAGGATGAAGGAGCTGTGCTAGTGGGATGAGGGTTCTATGCTGGAGCCGAGAAGTCACACTCACAACAAAAAGCAGAGCCAGCCTGAAAGGCACCACAGCTGTCCTCAGCGACACGGAAGCCCTGAGCTCCTCCAACCACAAGCACAGTCCGGTACGTGCCAGGAAGCAGCATGACAAGTTCACCCTGAAGACCAGGCAGCATATGTCTTCCCCTCCAGAGCCAGGAAGCAATGCTTGATGTTCAGACCAAAGCTTCTCCAGGAGAACCAACAGCTCAGACAGCAACTCGTAGGAGAACCCACAATGCCTCCTTAACGCCTCAATCCCTCTCTCTAACACCTCTGTTCTTCTCCACCTATTTATCCTGGCACCCCTCCTCAGGTGGACCATCTTCTCTCAATGCATGCTGATGTAATCCAGCTGGCGTTAAATTGACCACCAGTTCTCAAACCATAACACTGCCAAACCTACAAACTTCTCTGAGCCTCAGTTTCTTTGTCTTTGATATAAGAGAAACTACCAGTTGCACATGAAAATTTCAGGAGCAAGTGTAAAAGTGGTTGGACAAAAATATAAAAGGTGTATATAATACTAAGTATCGTTAGCTAGATGATAACACTGGAACTTACTAATTAGTAGACCATCTCTTCCCCTATTGGTTGTCTTATTATGTGCAAGTAATGAACCTCTAAGAACACTAAACTTCATTGGGCATTTTTTCTGGAAGCCCAGAGTTAAGCACATTCCTGGGCATTTTATTTATTTTTATGTCATTGCCATTTTAATAATGAAAAAATCTCAGGATGAGAAAGGTTGACCAAAAATCAAAATAATACAAGTAAGTTCTAGAACACAAATTTAAAGCTTTTTTTCTGTATCATACTTTTGGGGCTATTTCTTCTTGATCTCCTGTATAACCATCATCCCTTTAAGGTAAACAGGTCTATTTATTCCTAGATCTTGGAAGCGGAAGAGAATGATTTGTAGGCTGCTGTCAAGCGAGGATAGCAGTAAATCCCATTTCGTCTAGTCAGTCCCTGTGTCGTCTGGTTGTCCTGGTGTAGTTGTCAACAATGTCCCCTCTTTTACTTTCAAAATATTTTAGGTTGGACCTGAAATGCTTATTCTAGATTTACACCATCAAAGAAGCTAGCTCTCCACAACGCGCATCGTATATATTGAAACTATAGATTTGTAACTGTGCTGAAGATTTTTGTTAAAAAAATATTATATGCAGTTAAGCTAAAAGGGAATATACATGTCTGGGGATGATAAAAGTCAGACAAGTAATTATATTGAAGAGACAGGAAAGATAAGAGAAACAGAGCTGTAAATGAAGAATTGTGAGACAGGATGTATTAACATACTCCAAGAAAATATCCTGGCTCATAATAAGATACATTATAAAACACAAAATGTCTCTGCAAACATTGAATATTGGCTCTTCCAAGAAGCAAGTAGAGTGTAATGAGGATGTGTTTTCCATTCCCCAAAAGGACATTTTAGTAAAGTTAATTATTTTGGCCTTTGTATTTTCCTACGTGTTGGCCAGCAAGCAACCTGCCCCTTAGAATGAGCATGTGCCTCACACAGCAAACAATTTTGCTTTTCATCTACTTTATGACTTCAAAATAACAGTAAAAATCTATCTCCTGTTATGCTTAATATTTCCAACCTTAATATTTTATTTTATTCTTGTTAGAGTATCTAATTTGAAATTTGTATTTGCTATTTAAAATCAAAGTTCTCTGTGTACCGTGTGAAGGCCTGGGGTAACTGTAATTCTCATGTACTGCTGATGAGAGTATGAGCTGGAATAATTACTTTATAAAATTGGAAGTCTCTACTATAATTGAACACACACTTACCTTTTAGCTTAGCAAATCATTACTCACATATAAACCATAAAAAATTGTATATATCTGTAGCAAAAGACAGATTCAGCAATGTTCATAGTAGTATTAGTAGTGGTCTCTAACAGGAAAAATGAATAGATTGTAATTTGCCACGCAGTTCAACACTATATAGAATAAAATAAGATGAAATGAAAGAATTACTCATAATTCAACGTGGATGTCACAGTCATATTTAATGAGGTATACTACACAGACAATAGTGTGACTCCCTTTATGCAAAATTTAAAACAGGCACATTTAATATATTGTGAGGAAAGTTCTGGATAAAAACTGTAGCTACTTTTGGGAAGAAAATGTGGGTGGTGATAAAGAATAGGTATAAAAGAGGCTTCTCAGGCATAGTAATGTTCTATTTGTTGTTCAAAGATAAGTTTTCCTTGTGATAACTCACTGGTTATTTTTCTATGTATATACATTACATGTATCCTATTATCTATGTATATATACTACACCTTAAGAAGAATATGTGTTGAATTGTACATTCTTGAAAGATCCTTGGATTGTTGTTGAAAAAATATGTGTGAGAAAAGAGTGGAAATAGAGTCAAACATGTAGTCCATGGGGGTTATTCCAGGAAGACTTAAACTTAGATCAAGGAAAGGAAATAAAAAGTAAAAATGACTTCTGAGTTTTGAATTTAATTCACTGTGTGATGAGAATGACCAGAGAGTTTGACTTTGAAATAGAAATCTAGGGTTTGGGCACATGAAAATCAGCACATTAAATATGTCAGCAGGATATATTTATTATATTTATCTGAAGTTTGGAAACAGACACAACATAGAGCTATAAATTTAAAATCAAACATATAGAAGCATTTATGGCGATTAATAGGGATGTTTTATAACCCTGATCTCAATTCTGCCATATTCAACATTTTGTCAGTTAATATGGACAAAGGTTTAAACAAAGGTTAAACAAAACACTAACAGTAAAATAATGCACTGAAAATAGTGTCAAAAATAACTCAAATGATGATGAATTTAATAGGAATAATGTAGTCAGTCACCCTCTTAAGATCAAGTCATGGATTATGTCATATTAACAAAGTGACCGAACCAAAACAGAGAAGGCTTAGAGGTTTTTATTTGTAGTGGCATTAATTTGAATGAGAAATGAGATGAAACAGCCAAAAAGTCATTCTAGACAGTTATATAAATAAGTTGGTGTGGTATTAATATTTTGTTTTGTACTACTCGAATCCCAAACCAAGTGTTCCACGCTTGAGTGCGACTCTTGAGGTATTGGAATATGCTCAAAGGAAAAGAAAGTTATAAAATTAATAGTAATAGATGAAGAATAACAGGAAAAAAAAGGAATTGTTTAGCAAGAACAGGGATTTGGTGAGGAGAACCCCTGTTGTTAGAAAATAACAGTTGAACAATTCAAGAGGTGACCTTTAATATTTTTTTCTTAAAAAGTAAAGAAGAAAGAATTTAGATAGATGATACAGAGATAGATAGAAATAGATAAACAGAATTTCAGATACATAGAATCTCAGAGACATAGACAGATCCTGGCACAAAGCAATGAAGAATTTTCTCAAAAGTAATATATGAGTTGCTTGATAAAGTAATTTTTATTGCTAAAATATCCTAGCAGACCCTGTATGGCCATTTATGAAGATTTTTGGAAGGGTGAGTGATTGGTCTAGAACCTTCAAGTTCTTCCCACCTTGAAATTTCATGAATGAGATAGACTATAATTGGGAAAATAACATTTTGGAAAGAAACAAGAAAGCAAGAAAGTGAGGCGGGGGAAGAGAAGGAAAGAGGAGTGTTACGGATTAAGAGCTGGTGATCAATTTAATGCCAGCTGGATTACATCAGCATGGCACTGAGCATAGATGCTCCACCTGAGGAAAGTTGCCAGCAAAAATAGAGAGGTGGAGAAGAAGGCAGGCATTAATACGTCACTGAGTCGAGGCGCTGAGGCGTTGAGGCATTGTGAGTTCTCCTATGTGTGGCTGTTTGAGCCATTGGTTCTCCTGGAGAAGCTCTGACCCTCACATCTTGCATTGCTTCCTGGCTCTGACAGGGAAGATGTGTGCTTGGTCTCCAGGATGAACTCTTCACGCTGGCTCCCTGGCAGGCACTCGACTATGCTTGTCCTTGTCGTTGGAGGAGCTCGGGGCTTCCGTGTTGCTGAGGATGGCTGTGGTGCTTTTCAGGACAGCCCTGGTCTTTGTTTTGAGTGTGACTTCTCGGCTTCAGCATAGAACCCTCAACATACCAGCACAGCTCCTTAACCCTGCTGGCATAGACTTTCTGGCTTCCACCGCTGACCTTTGGACCTTCCCAGCACAGATCTGTAAAAGAGACTGGTGTGAGTCCTTCTTATGGGCTCTGGATCTCCAGTTGGACTTGTGGGAGGCATTGTCATGAGCTCTGGGTTTTCATCTGGACTCATGTGGGACATTGCTGTGGGATTTAGGCCCTTGGCTAAATATTCTGTTTCTGTTGTGCAGATACATTTCCTGCATTTTCTTGTGTTATCTCCCGGTGACCATCATAAATAATATTATAAACTCCATGTCCTGATTCTAATTGTTCTCCGTACAACCCCTGACTACAACAAGGGGGAAAAAGGAAATATTTCTATCATGAGGATATATATTAGGAACTAGGAAAGAAGAATTTTTTTTCAAATGGGAGCAAGAATAACAAGTTAGAAGAGGAGAGAAGGGAAGAAGGGAAAGGGGATTTAATGAAAAAAATGAAGAAAAAGTGGAAATAGAGTTTTTCAAAATAGGGGATGAAGAGTGTGAAGGAGGGACAATAAAATGAATTAAATTATCTTATGTACATGTATAAATTCCTCATGATAAATGTCATCACTATAAACTGAAAACATGTACTAATATGAAAAATTATTTTAAAAATTTTTTTCCTGATGTGGAAAAAACAAGCAAGAAAACAATAAAAAAAATTAGACCATAGAAGAAATGTGGACTTCTTACATGAGTTTTAATAACCTAAAAATATCTCCTGATACCTAAAAGGATTTATTGGAACTGTGCTGAAAATCAGCACAATTATAATGGACAGTCAACACCATGCAGTTAAAAATAATTTAAACCCATCAGTCATTCACTTGTTATCTCTCATTTCTTCTATGATGTTATTATTTAATGCAAAAGACTTGCAATACAAATATGGTGAAATTGGAAAGGCTTTTGCAAAGTGATAAAATACTAACTCGATTTTTTGCCCCAAACGTTTAGCTATTTGTGCTCTACTCCTTCAGAAAATATTTTGCTTTCATAGAAAAACTCCTCAGAACCAAGTAATTTGAGTTGTGTGCCCTTTACAGCAGCATTCTGAAAATTCTACCATTTCCAAATAAAGCAGTATGCAGTTTTCCAGTACCACAGTATTTTACTATCTAAGTTTATTTGGAGTGACTTGTTTAACCATGAGTTTCCAAAATAGCTTTAAAAAGGGAAAAAGCATATTTTTCGTGAAATGTGTAGTTATAAGAATGAACATAGACTGACAATAAGTAGCAATCCAAATTTTACATTTATTTACTATTATTAAGGGGGAGGCATTCTATTTGAAAAATAATTGTTATTTTCCAAAAGTGAGAGGGTAACATAATTGTAGGTACTATGGAAAGCAGTATATATGTCAATGAAAATTTGTTTATTTTGAGGTTAGCATATATGTTCTAAATGATTTAAATCTCTTCCATTGTCTCTTGAGAAAATACAAACATCTACTAAAAATACTTTTGAAATAAAATGCTTATCCACTTATTTAACAAAAGAAGTATTGCCTCATTCAGGAACAGCAATAGTCCTATTTATACAACATTAAATAGAATAATTTCTTTATCTTCTACCTTTAGATCAAGACTATAGCGTGTTCCAAAGAAGAAATTAAGAACTTAATATGCATTTGGCAGACAACAAAGGCTTCAGTGACCCAGAAAGAGTGGACAGACATGTAAACTTCCTAGTTTAAATGACACTTCTATGTACTGTAGAAACCTACTCTACAGTTTTGTGTCTCTATGGAACTAAAACAAATATTCTTTATTGAATTCTCTGGAAACAAATTTCCTCCCAGATATTTATTGATAGGAAAATATAACCTCAAATGTCTCCTTCCCAGCCTCGTGGCAGCATCCCAGGCTGCCACTTGCCTTGTATGATTGCCTTTCCTTTCCATTGACAAATGATTTTCTCAAGCCCTGATAGATTCCAAAAGAGTAATTCACAAGATCCAGGTGAAAGGCATTACAGAATGCCTTTTGTCTTTATTTTTCTAATGGGAATAGCAATGAAGCTGAAACTTGTTTTTAAACATGTTCCCATCCTTTTTTTTTTTCCTCTTGGCTAATGTAGATTAGCTATGTTATTTTTAAAAATTGGCATTAACTCCAAATGAAAATAGAATAATAACATTTGCAAAAATAAAAATTACTATAGAACAGAGAGACTTCAAGCTGAGCTACAATAATTTTTTTGTCCAAAGTCAAATCCCAGCTTAAGAAAATAACCTCTAGATATGTTGTTTTAGCAATTAGTGATCTTATTGTACATATTTCACCAGGTATTTAGAAAACACTTAACAGTGAAACTGTGCAGAAATTATGCTCCCATTTGGAGATAGGGAAAGTTTTACTTATTATGGAAATTCTTTAAAAAATTAAAACTAGAAATTCCATTTGATCCAGCTATTCTCCTTCTAGGGATCTTCCTGAAAGGATTAAAGACATCATATTACAGCTATTTGTGCACACTGATGTTTATAGCAGCCCAACTCAGCAGTTTAATCTTGGAATTGGCTAATATGTCCATCAGCAGATGAATGGATAATGAAAATGTATTTACACACAATGGAGTACTAATCTGCCTTTAAAAAGGATAAACCTAGGTCATTTAGAGAAAAATGGATGCAAAAACAGATAAATCAAGGTGTATCATGAGCAGGTACAAATTCCGTATGGTGAATGTGATCATTGTACATACCTACAGGGCACAAATAAACTTAATTAAATAAAAAAGGATACACCTTGAGACCATACTGTTAAATACAATGAGATATACAGCTTAAAAATCTCATAGTGTCTCTTATAAGAGAAACTCGAAATATAAAAAAGAGCAAAATAGAAGTGAGATAATAGGAAGTAGAGAAGTCTTTATCAAATGAGAAGGGCATCAAGAGATTGAAGCAGGGATGAGAGAAAGAAAGAAAAAGGGAAGAAAAAAGTAATTGAGATGTGTTATACATAAGCACCAACACCACACCAGGAATACAAACATTATGTCCTACAAACGTGTAATAATAAAAATTAAATAAATAAAGGGTTTAACTTGAAAGTCAATGCCCAGAAAAGCTAATGACTGCCTACATTATATTCTGGAAAGGCAAAATATCTATAGAGCTGTCTTATTTATATTATGGTATCTCAGAAATCAACAGTACACTCAAAAGATTAAACATAAACATTATAGAAAACAGGATAAAATAAAACTAAAATTAATTGTCACATGTTACTTTGAATAAGAATGGAATGACTTACTCTATCAACTCTAATCATGAATACTAACTTTGAAGAATGTAACTTTCTCCCCTTTTATTTCTAATAGCCAAGCACTTTCAAACCCAAAGTGATTCTGGAAATTCTTGTATATGAAGAGAGATTTTTGGCTAGAGGAGGTGCTATTTGAAACAGCCAGAAGATTAAGCTGGCATCAATTACAAACAAACTACTGTGCTTTAATATTAAACTAGACATTCCTGGTTCACTGGTGCAAGGCTTATTTTCCACAGAATGGGGATAAAAAGAGAAGGCAAGTAAAAAAATGAAGAAATTTTTATTAAATACCATACAACTATCTGGCATCATTTCACAAACTTGATTATTGAATAACTTTTAATAACAGACTTCTTTTCCTATCTGTTTCTTTAAACTTTAGGGGAGGGACAGGGAGTTGTCCTGTGCATGATCTGGAGGAGGAGAGTACTGCAGTCAGATGGTAAAGGTTAGGTGAGAAGAGGATGATATGGAGGAGACTCAGTGATAACCGAGAAGGAAAGGGGAGCTTTGTAAGGAATCGTCTATGCAGAGCCCACCGTGCCACAGAGGACAGCTCCCAGGGGAACAGCAGCAGCTCCAAATTTTTCAAGCTTTGTCCTCACTGACCACAAGTCGAGGAAGGTCCTAGATTTAAAGGACCCAGCAAGCAACTGCTTGGCTCTGCCTCAATAATGGATTTCTTAATAGATTTCTCAGTTAAGGTCACTTCCAACTTGGAGGACCTACTCCATTGCTGAAGTCTGAAAAACCAAGCCAAAACAAAACAATGGAATCTTATGAATCAAGAAGTCCCAAATTCATGAGTTTCCAGATGCAATCATCTAAATAGCCCTAGCCTTTATTAGGAAAGTGTAGGAGGCCTGATAAAGTAGTTAAGTTTGGCAGTTGCTTCTTTTTGATCTCCTGATGGAGTATACAGCGCCCTCAGTTAATACCAGCATTGTTTTGAAATTTTATAATTAGCCAATAACTGGTTATTCTGAAAGTTTTACAAGCCTAACAAATATTGTTACATTTAACTTTGAAAAGTCCTAGAGTTTCTAACAAGTTGGTGCTCTAATCCTGAGATTTATCTTAAGATGAATTTGTAAATATGCAGATGGAAAATAATCTTTCCCATTCATATGGCACTATTTCAATAGTGTGCTCAAGTGGTTCTTAGCCTCAGGGAAGGAGGTGAAAAGTGATTTTGTCCCGCAAGAGACATGTGGCAATATTTGGAAACATTTTTGGTTGTCACAATTAAAGAGTGCTTTAGAGGGTGAAGCCAGGGATGTTGCTAAACATCCTACACTGCACTGGACAGCTCCTCCAAAAAAAAAAGATCTCAAAGTGTTACAAAATGTCAGTAGCACTGAGTTGAAGAAACTCTGCTCTATCTCAAATACTTTAAATATTATTAAAGCATAGGGTAAGATTATGAAGTTTTCATTTCTATTAATCAATTTACACAAACATGATTTGAAACAGATCAAAATAGTAAATAAGGTATAGAGGGGGGAAAGTGATCTACTTGTTATTTGAGAAAAACCTGGATAGAAAAATTACAAATTTTTATTCATACGAACATCCATGTACAATCTTTGATAAACTAGAAAAATCATCTTTCTAGCTTATCACTGTTATGCACTGTAATGAGAAATCAAGGAACAAAATGGTTATAAAGTATCTTACTCATAAATTCTATTATATTATTAAGTTGTTTTTATTCATCAGACAATAGCCTATCTAAAAATCAGGTCTGTCAGAAGTTATGATATATAACAGCCACAAGATGAATGCATAAGCTTTTATTTTTTATGAAATATTTTTACTTTCCTCAGTTATAAAGCAATTTTTTATTAAATTAACTTCAGAAGTAGATGATATTATGGAACATTCAGATGTTTATTCTAGTTCATTTCTATTTTTCCTTTTGTGAAAAATCTCCCATCAAGTTAGTAAGAACAACATACCATTTGCTGTGGGAATCACTCTGGGGTTAGTTCCGTGAGAACAATAGCTTCCATTGTCTAAGAGGATAAGCAAAATCATTTTTATAGTTCCACTAAAAAAACTTCATTAAAATGGTGAAAAGGGAAAGAGTTTCATCAGAAGAGAGCTTTCTACAGATTCACCCTATGGAGAGGCAAATAAGAACTTGTATATGAAAGAAGAAGTGAATCCTTAAGTTCTAGTCTACATAAATCAAGTCTAGCTGGGATGCATTTAGTTTAGCTTTTTCACAAATATTACCTTCATAAGGAATCTAGAATTTTAACTGTCCTATAAACACCATGTTAATTTCACCTTGTTGGCCAGAAAAATGAGTCAACTACCTTGGAAAATGAGAGTATTCTTTGTAATAACTCTTGCAAATATCCTAATAATCCCATAAGAAATATAAATGTGAACAAAAGACAAACAGTTAGAAGGCAAGAAGCCCTTAGGCCAGATTCTCAGACATTTTGGGTCCATTCTTGAACTATGAAAATGACTTTCTTCTCTGGATAAAACCTCTTAAACTTTGGCATTACAGTTTTGAGGGAAATTATTTTTTACAAAATGTTATTTGGCTGTACCCTATCTTTTCCATTTCCTGATCAACATTAGGGACTCATTGATGGATTCTTGTCCTGTACTCACTTTGAGAAACAGTTGTTGGCCATAAATTTCCAATCCTCAGTGTTAGCCTGCTTGGGAGAAAAGAGGGGGTACAGTGAGTATTAGTGCTTACAAGAGCTTGCAGGGCCGGAGTAAGGCTTCTCAAAAGACTGCACATGCTCTGAATCAGATTTAATGTAGGACACAGAAATTTACAATATTGGCCTATAATGGTTGTCCGTAGAGTCAAATATAGAACAGTGCAAAAGATCCATCCTCATTCTGGAGTACTCAAGGATTCAGACAAAGGCCTGGAGTCCAGGGTAATGTCCCATAGGAGTCAGCATGAGGAGGCCAAAGGACTGGACAGAGGAGACCAAAGGGTCTGCACTGGGAAGTAAAAGGGTCAGCCCCAGAAGCTAGAGTCTGCACTGGCAGGCTGAAAAGTCTGTGCCAAGAACCAGGAAAAGACATCCAAGGTGAAAGTGAAGACCAGAGCTTCTCCAAAGATATCATCAGCTGAAGCTCCCCTAAGGAAAATCAGCCTCAAGGAAACTCCAAGAAAACAGAAGTCCTTCCCCTTCCATTCTGCTTTTGTAGAGCTCCTTAAAGTGGGTCTTCCACACCCAGAACCATGCTGACTTAATTCAGTGGGACATTCCCACTCAAGCTGATCATTAATTAATTAACCACTACAAGGAGGAATTAAAATATCAGTTAGTAGAATGTCTAAGTCACCACTTTGGATTTAATTGAAAACAAAGTTGAGGAAGAAAGAAAAAAATGGCATGGGCAAGCCAGACCATGTGTGGGGAAGAGAGTCACCTGGCCCTGGTAACATGCACAGTAGCAACAGATAAATGTTTGAGTTAATTATTACACTGAACTTTTACCATTCAGCTCTGATTTTCTTTTATAATTTTTATTATTCCAAAAATGGTCTTTTTCCTGTGAAAGAAAACTAATTCTTCAAATCCCAGTTTCTAAAAGGGAATGTGATTTGTGAAGCTGACATTAGGCAACACTTAACATTTCCCTACTATATCTCGGTCTGCAAGCAAACCAAAGCCATTCCTTTAAGTCTGGACTATTATTTTGCTTTTGGTAAAATTTCGCTAATTTTCTCCCCCAACCACATCTAAGCTCAAATGCAAACTCCTCCCTTGGAGATAGTGGACAGCAGCTGATTTGGGGTCACATTGCGTCTCTATGCAGGGTTCTGTGTATGTAGTTCCGACACAGTAATTACAGATGTGTCTGCATCTTAGAGATTCCTAAACTCTTTTAACAGAATTTGACTCAAGGGAAATGAAGAGTTGTAGTCCAGAGGTGGGGGCAGTCCTCCCTTCGGAGTAAGAAATTACAAACTCCTGCTAGCTGAAGAGGCCATGTTCTTGTGGGGTTTCCTGGCAGTCTTGTAACAGTGTTGACTGGAAGCTTATTTTAGGGACCTTGGAACAGTTACTTCTTTCTTACTTACTTTCTTTTTGAGAGGATTCCTCATTTTCTTTATGTAACTTTCGCCATATTTTTCTTTTTAAAATTTTTTCAAGATTTTGTTAGTACATGTCTGCAATACATAATAATTACAATGATCGTGAAGTGTTGGTACCTGCACATAATGCATCTTAATTCTTTTTTATTTTCCCCTCTTCCTTCTTCCCTCCCCCCTCCACCCCATCACATGATCCCCTCTTCTCATTTGCAAAAGATCTTCCTATTGCCATAATGTACTTTGATTTTGCTCTTTCAATTATTTATGCTTTGACTTTCCCCTAGAAGAGAAGCCATGGGATATTTAAGCCTGCCTGTGGGTTTGCATGCAGTAGCGTTTAATTCTCAGGCCCTAACCACGAAGCAGGTGCCCCAGCTGGGCCGGAGGCGCCTGCTTGTCCTTGTGAGTCCAAACCTCACGCTAGGAGCCACCTGGGGCGATCGTGCACCTGTCAGTTCCTGGGCATCGCGGTCCCCTCCTCCTGCCCGGTCGGCTTCCCCGCCCCGGCCCGGGCGTGACTCGGGCGGCAGCGCAGGGGCGGGCGGGCTCCGGCGGGCGGCGGGGCGTGGCGGGGCGCGGGCGGGCGGGGCCGGGCGCCGCGCAGGGAGGCGCAGGGAGGCGCAGGGAGGCGAGCGGCCGCGCACCGGCGCCGCGATGGGGCTGGAGACCGAGAAGGCGGACGTGCAGCTCTTCATGGACGACGACGCCTACAGCCAGCACAGCGGCGCCGACTACGCGGAGAAGGTGGCGGGCTCGGGCCCGGACCGGGACCCCCGCGGGCTCAACTCGCATCTGAAGGTGCCGCGGGGTGGCGGGGGGTCCTGAGCCGGGCGGGCGGGCGGGCGGGCGCCCCCTCCTGCCCCGCGCCCGCGCCCTGCACCCGGCCGGCTTCCCGCCACCGCGCTCCCTCCTGCGGGCGAGTCCTGTGCACCGCCGCGCCTCCGGGACAGGCGGAACCCCTGTCCTCCCCGCCTCTGCGCCCCGCCTCGGGGTCCCCGGGCCGGGTGGGTGACAGGTCGGGTCTCTGCGTCCTGTCTCGGCAGCTGGGCTTTGAGGATGTGATCGCAGAGCCGGTGACCACGCACTCCTTTGACAAAGTGTGGATCTGCAGCCACGCGCTCTTCGAAATCTGCAAATACGTGGTCTACAAGTTCCTGACGGTGTTCCTGGCCATCCCCTTGGCCTTCGCCGCGGGAATTCTCTTTGCCACTCTGAGTTGCCTGCACATCTGGTGAGAAGGGGCGGGCGGGGTGGACCAGCTTTCTGACCAGTAGGGAGGGGACGAATTTTTTGCCACCTTCTCCCACCCCACCCCCACCTCTGCTCGCCCTTTCTCGCAGGTCAGTGTGTAGAGGAAAGAACACGCCTCTGTTCTCGGACAGGGACAAAAACTGCAAGTCAGGCCTGGAAAGAACAGTGCATCCTTTAGAATAATAATAGTTTGGGCTGGGAGTTTAAACAGAAGGAAGAACGCGCCTCTTTCCTGAGTGCGATTTTCCTTCTCTGACACAAGGCCGGGCTGAGTGTGGAGGTGGGGACCTGGAAGCCAGCTTCCTGCAGCAGGCTGCTGTCTCTTGGGCCCTGCTAGGACTTGTCCCTGTAGTTATGGGCAAGGGTTTTCTTTCTTTTATTGCCTTTTACTTAGTCACGCGTGTGCTCGGGGCAAAACAAAAGTGATCTTGGAGGAGAATGCCACTGAAAATATAACTGCACAGCAGCGAAGTCGGCTCTGGCTAAGCAGTGCTGAGAAGGGGCAGCTCATGCTGAGGAGGGGCAGCTCCAATCCTGCTTGGCGGGTGGAGGGGATGGAACCCCATGAGATGGGAGGTGTATACCGGGAAGGGGAAGCTCCCCCCATCCACCATCGATGAAGGAAAAGTGCAGGCAAATGAAATAAGAATCAAGTTACTTTTTCATCTCTGAGGTACAAATGGGAGTGGCATTCAGTCAGAGGAAATTTGGAAATGCACTGGAGATGAAAAGGATGTTTTAAGTTACTTTAGTCATACTCAGAATGCATTGTAAAAATTCCAAAATCATTTGTAAGCATTAAAAATGTTAAGGAAAGCATTATATTCTGCCAAGAACTTTGGTCGTAAGGTTAAAAGATTCCCACTTTACTCTGAAAAGAAGAATCAAGCTTCTTCATGCCAGTTGTCAAACAGGTGCATCAACGTGGTCCCAGTGAAATGTGCAAACGCAGATGGCTCCTTAAACCCCTTAGGTGACCTTATCTTGCTCTAAGAGATGGTCATTGATTGCTAACTGTTACCAAATGATTCTTTGCTTCATCTCCATAATACCTCTACCTTCAGTTTTTTTTTAAAGCAAAACAGAAAAAAGGATAGAAATAATACAGAATTTCAAAAAGAACAGTAAGAAGTCAACACTAGTTAATATATTGCATACTATTATCTTAGAAGTAGTTGGAGCTGGGGATTTAGCTCAGCGGCATAAGCGCCTGCCTTGCAGTCAGTCGTGAGAATTCGATCCCCGGTACCGATAAAAAAGAAGAAAAAAAAAAAGACCAAAAAAAGAAGAAGTAGTTGTTCAGGTTACAAGATCTGTGCATAAAAATGATCGCACATCAAACAATGACAGCACAAACTGTCCTTTTATTGTATTGTGTCCCTAGTGTAAAAAATAAGTAATAATAATACAAAAACTGAAAGTAAAAAGACCCAAAGTGCACAACAGATATTGTAATAATGAAAGGGAAAGAGAGTGCTCAAAAGGAAAGAACCACTGGGATGGGGAAAGGAGAAACGGAAGAAAGGAAAAGACTGTATATAGGTAGGTGTACACATATACCGTCATGCCTTTAATCAACTAGTTATTGTCTCATAAGCTCAATGTATTGAATGGTTAGTTTTGTGCTGGCTCCTGGGCATCGGGCGCTCTTTGAGCTTAGCCACAGTGTAGGTCCAGGTGTGAGTGCTGGGAAGACACATTTAACTCATCGGGAAGAAAGAAGAGCAGGGAAGGCTGTGAAAGAAAAGTCTAAAAAGGGTTTTCTTTTTTTTTTTTTTTTTTTTGATACCGAGGTTTGAACTCATGACTGACTTCATGCTTGCCAGGCAAACACTTATGCCACTGAGCTAAATCCCCTGCCTTTAAAAGGGTTTTAAAGAATAAATAAAATTACAAAGATTAATAAAAGATAAGCAGATGTCTATGATTTTATCACTGAAAGTCATAAACAGTTATGTTGCAAGTGCCAAAAAATTGCCAAAGAATTAGAAATCTTTGTCTTTATACATGTGCAGATCCACAGAGGCTAGATGTATATATAATAAATAGTCTCATCTGGAATTTGGAATTCAAAATTTGGAATTTCTAATTAAAACCAATCATCTTAACCTCCATGTAAGTTTTGTAACTTACAAAATGTGAAAAATAAGTGACATGTAACATATTGTGAAAATCTGGCTGTGCGACTATTTAGAAATATAGAATACCATATTTATAATCAACAAAGCTCAACTTTCCCAAAGCATTTTGGGAAGAATTGGAAAGAAGAATGTTTTTACCAAATGGTGGAAAGATATAAGTAATACTACAATTAACCAAATGGTTTCTTACAATGTTTTTTGTGTAATTCTTCCATTAGTGAATCATCAACCCACTTCCTTTTTAGCCACATAATATGTATTACTTAGCTCCAGCTTGTTTTTCAAATTACTTTCATGTGAAACACCAGTGTTTAACTGTAATATGTTTGTCATCAGGCAACTGTGATTGTAAGTACAAAAGTAATTTCAAACAGCAATGCTTAAATGTTATTTTGTATCTTTATAAAAATAGATCTAACATTAGTGGGTTACATTCCCGTGGCACATTAGACCAGATGAGAAGCTGTATAGAAGAGCAGATCCATTTGGATTTCTTTCTTTCTCTCTCTCTTTCTTTCTTTCTTTCTTTCTTTCTTTCTTTCTTTCTCTTCCTTCCTTCCTTCCTTCTTTCCTTCTTTCCTTCTTTCCTTTTTTCTTTCCTTTCTTCTTCTTTGTTTCTTTCTGGTTTGTGTATTTTTAAGGAGGGAGTTAATTTGTGCTTTACCAAGAAGTTGATCTTCACTAAAGTTAAGAAAACAATGGAACTTTGAGCCAAGTCACAATCTTACCCCATATCTGATTTTAGAGTTTTTTCCGCACAATCTCCCTGTTTTGCCAAGGCTTGCTTTGAACTCTGGGGTTTCAAGCAGACCTCCTGCCTCAGCCTCATTAGTAGCTGGAACTACTTATTTACTGGTACATACCGTTGTGCACAGCTTGATTTTAGGTTCTTTGAAGAAATAAATGACAACAACAACTAAAGTAGAATCTTAATGATATTGAACCCTAGAGTAGAAGTACAGTGTTTGATTCCATGTTGCAGTCCGATACAGGTAGCCACCATTTTGCTATTTGTCAAATAAAGTCATTGCTCATAAATGGATCATAGCTAAAGAATATGACTGGGACACCTGTACCTTTTCTTTCTTTCTTTCTTTCTTTCTTTCTTTCTGTCTGTCTGTCTGCCTGTCTGTCTTCTTTCTTTCTTTCCTTCTTTTTTCTGGGATGCAGTGTACATACATGTCCATCCAAGTTGGAAATGCAATGGTAGCAATCTCTTGTATAGAATTTTACTGTACAGTAACCTGCTGTAACAGTGAAATTTTCATGACATTATAGCTAAATAAATTTTCTCATCAAGGGTAGAAATATAAATTTTATGCAACAAATGTTTCATTGGTCACACTGACCCTCAACCAAATTTTTGATCATTTCAGGATGTGTGTAGTGTCAGAAGAGAAACTACATACAACATTGACAACTCAAATTAAGTTTGGTATTCAAAGATTATTAGGTTCTCTACTCCAAAATGAAAGAATAACAATTTAAAGAAAATAAAATTAAGTATGTTAATCACATCTTATGAACTTAATTCCTCAACTCGGAGCAGCTACACTTTGCCAAACTGGAAAATCAGCTTTTGTCAAATAATGCGTCCCTTTTAGGACATGGAAAGCTAAAGAGTTATGGAGATAAAAAAAATTCTTAGTCTAAGGAAAAGTAGAAAGTATACTGCATTCTAAGCAAAATAGTTTGATTAGCAAACTTTCTGATCTAAACTTCAGGTTTGTAATCTTTTGATTTGTGATTATTTTGGCATCCTGGTTTTCATTATATATTCTGATTTCAAGATATGTCTATTTATTAGTCATTATGATAACAGCACCATGTGGACATTTCAAGGATACATAACAAATATTGACCTTGACAACCTGTTCTGTAAGTTTTCATGTTCTCACTTTAATTTGTAACAATATTCCCAAGACCACATATCAAATGACAAGTATAATGACATTAAAAGTCAAAACTTGCTACCACCTGGGTTTCTATTCAGTTGTTTAGCTCTAAAACACACCTTAATTAATTTTCTTATAAAACTGCTTCAAATATTTAGCACTTGGAACAAAACAGAAGATAAAAATAGTCAGTGTGGATAGGCAATCTTAATAATTCAGTATTCTAAAAATATATCAATCAGACAGACAGTTACCAATCTTCACTTAGGCTAAATGCAGATCTTCACTTAGTCACATTTCAATAGCAAATTAAGAAAAGGAACTTCACTCTCTTGTGCCAGCCAAGGTCATAATAAAGATTCCAAAGAGGCCACCAGCAGTGCCTAAGAATTCACAAAAACTTGTGTGCTGAAAGAGCATTACTTCCATTGAGGACATTATTCAAAACATTACATAGGAAAACCACCAGCCTGCAGGCCTGGAGAATATAAGAACATACATTTACAGTAAAAAAAAAAAAAAAAAAAATTACAAAAAAACAGTTTGAGGATAGTAGACCAACTTTTTTCATCTAAGAGTTGTAACATTATTTGCAGTGTTACTTTACCCTACACAGAATTTTACACTATGGAAAATTAATAATGTGGAGTATAATCATATAAAATCAAATTAATCATATGAAACATAAAATGCTAAATTACACTCAAATACTTATGAAAGGTGAAATTAGTTTAAAACAACTTATGTTCTAGAAAGAAATACAGAAATATAAGTGTCTATTTGTGATATCTTTTGCTTAGTTTGAGGAAGTTTGTTTCAGTATTTAAAAGGGCCAAAAGGGAGGTCCAACCCTGACTGGTCCAGAGGTTGGCAAGTGATAGGAAGCAACAGGAAAAGTTAACAGGAAGAAGAGCCTTGGAAATACAAAGAGTTACGCAGGTTAATGTTTGGGGGCAGAAATCAGGTGGTAAACATACTGTCTTATTTTTGTTTTACTGTTTACAAAAGCATTCCACCAACAGAAAGAATGTCAGTATTTTATCAGATACATGCCCAATTATTTTTCAGTCAGCCTATTGTCGTTTCTTGTCACGTTCCATTTGTTCTGAATTGTTCAATGAAGTTTAAATAAACTCAGTCTTTATATCTTTTCATGCATGTACAAGTGATCTTACTTGGTAACATTAACAATCCTGATGTATCCCTTTTCCTCCATTTTAGGATCATAATGCCTTTTGTAAAGACCTGCCTAATGGTTCTGCCTTCCGTACAGACGATATGGAAGAGTGTGACAGATGTTGTCGTTGCCCCATTGTGTACAAGCGTGGGACGAATTTTTTCTTCTGTCAGCCTGCAACTGAGCCATGACTGAACATTTAGATCCCAGGTCTAGATATTTGGATAGTGTGATACATCTTTGTTATTGTAACATAACAATACTACTGTTCTGTTTATGTCTCAGCTGCTCCAATCAAGAGAAGTATTGAGACTTCACATTTAGAAACTTTATTGGCAAACTTCAAATAATGCTTTTCTAATTAATGCCCAAGGATTTCATATCTTATTTTATAAACCAGAATTATTTGGTAGGTTAGCTACACTTATTTGTAGAGCCAGGCTGTGTTTGCCTTACTAAAAAAAGAAGTACACATTTTCAGCTAATAAATTTATACTGATAAGTGACACTTCTCTCAAAGCACTACAATAATTTTGTGCACAACTACATAAAAAGGTGGAGTTTCTTATTTTCTTATACTCTGGAAGTAATATTTTTAAAATTAGGTATCAGAAGGATACTTAGTGTATCCAAACATTCAAGATTACAGTAACAAAAGCATATAGAGATACTACTAATATCAAATATAACAAAACAAAAAATGTGAAAATAGATGAAAATGTATTCCTTTGAGTATACTGTTAACCTAAAGACCTATTTAACAAGATATTTCACTTTACTGTATATTTTGTACTTAATATAAATATTACTTTAATTGGATTGCTTTATGGTATTTGTTATCATGTTGAACTAATATATAGAATAAGTAAATGTATCTCACACAAGATGACTTCCTGGAAAGATGCACTGTCTTGATCATGAAAGCATTTATATAGCTTCTGTGGGGATGGAATATAAAAGATTGGTATATGGGGTTCTCTTTTCTGACTTTTCCATGCAAAATCCTGAAAAGCTTTATGATTCATATCTATCTGTCTGTGATGTTAAATCATATCTAATTGACATTTTGTCTTATAGTTAAGAATTAAATCTATATTCTGCATTTCTGTGCTATTAGGCGGAATTTCTGTTACTTTGTGAGGTCAACCTGCTATTTCACTTTACTTCAATGTAATATTGGTGCTAATTAAGATTTTATGATGAAGGCTGTTGTAACACTTCAGTAATAATTGCCACTACAATGATTCATTTGGAGGATCCATGCTACTGAGCTATATGCATAAATTAAAAATTAACTACAAAATTTTAATAATGATATAGATTTTGTAATATGTATGAAATTATTCTATAATTTTTGGGTTGTAGGGTCTTATTTTAGCCTTATGAGCTAGTGTTACTTTAAAAATCTCCTTTATTCTAAATTGATATAGGCATATACAAAAGTGTCTGTAGTGTGATCTATGTATTTTAAGAGTGTCTGTGCAAATTCAGAATATTTTGATTTTTTTTGTGGGATTTGGTTTGTTTGTCTATTTTGCTTTTATTTTCTGAGACAGAACATGAATTGTATATCCTCATAACTGATAGATCTTCATTCAGTGAAGATTAATAAGATTTTTTAAAGTTGTCATTTTTGGTAAAGAAAAAGGATGATTGAACTGAAAAACTCTTGGGAACAAATAAAGAGAATGTTAAAATTATGAAACTCATATCCTTTTGAAGGTAATTGCAAAAGAGACTTTTAAAATGTCCTTAGGACATTGTCGCATCCTGAGAAAAAGACTCGTGATAATGATCTTAAAGCACTGCTACTCATTTGGCTACATAGATTTTATGCTAATTAAAAAGGTCAGTCAGTCTCATGACTTTATAGTTGTACTTTGTAATTTTAAATGTTTGCTTAAATACTGTATGTATTGATTAACAAAAGGTATTTGTTTAATAAACTAGTTTAATAAAAGCTTCAACTTTTCAAATAGTAATTGGCAAGCTTTAAAATATATATAGTTATATAACTAAACCTTTTAACTTCTAGTATATGAAACATTATTTCCTTATTTCTGAACAATACTGATTACTTTAAAAATGAATTTTACTGAGACTTTTCCTGAATTTTTTATTTCAAAGATCCAAACTTTGAATAAAGTAAACTTTCATATGAAAGCATATTAGTCCTTTTATTTGTGGTAAAGGGAAGTAAAAAAGGAGAATTAATAATCATTCTAAAACTCTTAAGTGTGCTTATTATTTTTATTATATTTTATCCTTTCATTACATTACATTGCTTTCACTTACATTAAATGTGAAATGGATCAATAGAAAATTTTTGAACTAATTTTAGCTTATTAAAAACTAAAAAGAACTAAATACATGAACTATCACTTTTGAGAATGTTTTTAAAAACTGAGGCAAGGAATTTAATTCTTTGGTTTCATAGCACTTAAAAGAGGTTCTACAAAAATTTTTCAATCACCTGATGAACAGTATGAAATAGCTAGTTCACAAATCTACCATATTTCATCTTCTTTATAAAGTCTTTCTTTGCTAATCCTAAATAAACAGATATTTCTGTTTCCAATTCTTTAAATATAAAAGTAATAACAATATAAATCACATGTGCTTAGATACTTGTACCAGGAAGCCAGACTAATGTCCAAAATTATTTTTGGAATGCAAATATGTGAAAAGTAGTTGATGATATTGGCATAGATTTTTCTTGTGGTCAGTTAATCTGGGAAAATAACCAACCTCTAGTAAGAAAACAGGTGTTTGACTTTTTAAATGTGACTTGTAGTTTCAAAGAACTTTAAAACCCATTCTTTTTAATAGTCATCCACAACCTATTAATTTATTTTGATTTTTTATGAGATTTGGTTTGTTTGTCTGTTTTGCTTTTATTTTCTGAGACAGGATCTTTCTGTATAGTTTAGTGTGACCTTGAACTCACTATATGGCTTCACTTAGAACTCATAATGATCTAATCCTGCTGTCTCAGCCTCCAGAGTGCTGGGATTACAAGCCCGCACTGCCATGCCCACAATTTTTAGATGCTTTTCTGGGAATGCTGTTGAGCTGTAGTGAAAAGATCCCTGCCCTATATAGCAGGCATTGGGATTCTAACTTCAGGACTGCTGTCACTGAAGTATGTCACCTTCTGCAAGTGATCTAACCTCTGGGCCTTGATTTTTATATCTTTAATTAAAGTGCAACAGCAAGCAGAAACACTGAAATGACACCTAGGATTGGGGCAGATTTATTTTATGTCAGTGGGCACTGATCAGGATCATTCCCAAAATATCAGGCCCTATCTCTGGTGGACTAGGGCTTATATGGGATAAGCAAGCAGGAAGTACAGAGGCAGAATAGCTTGTCAACTGGGGGCTGGTTCTTACAGTATGCATCATTGTGACCAGCTGCTTCTAAGAAACAAAATTAACAGGAACTGTGACCAGAACTGTGACCTGGGTATCTAACAAACTGAATGATACTAGCTGGTGGGGATGGGGGAAATCTTATGCTACTGAAGGACTGGACTGAATGATCTCTCAAGAGCTTCTTGAACTCGTTTCCTATGATTTCAGTAGAATAAAGATCTGGTTATATCTTTTCTAACCAATCTAGCTGTCCAGTCCAGGTAACTTAAAAAACCAGTGAAGTTCCTGCTGACTACTGGGCTGTCATACTACAAATATATTCAATAATATGTGTACTTTTCATTCTTCCACTGATAATTATACTGTGTCTGCAGTCTGTTCTTTGTGACAAGTGCCTTGCTTTTTATCAGTTTATTATTATTTTCTCCAAAAATAACACATCGCTCTATAATCAGGAATCAGGATTAACTTATTGAAAGGCTCTTTACCAAAATCACTCTACACTATTGTAGTTTGAGTCCTAGATACTTTTCAGAGGCACCTATGCTAAAGATTGTGTTCCCTGTCTGCCACACTCCTGGGAAAGTGTGGAAACATTTTTAAGAGGTGGATCCTCGTGGAAGGAATTAGCTCATGGGCTAGCAGCCCTTGAGAGGGATACGAGGACCCTGACACCTTCTATCTCTCCACGTTTTGCTTCCTGGCCACAATGTTGTAAGCAGTTTCCTGTAACATTTGCATCTACAGTGATTTTCTGCCTAAATGCAGGCCCAACATGGGCTAAACCATCCAATACTGAAAATTCTACAACTGAGCCAGTGTAAATCTTCCTAAGCATCCTCATCACCTGCTCCATCTTTAGCCTGGCTGTTAGCTAGTGCCTCCCAACAGCTCTCACTCCCTCCTTTCCATAAACTCTCCAATCTAGTTTTCCCTTCAAAAGCAAATGATCATATCAAAACTCCCTATGACTTCTTTGCTTAAAGCTATCGAGTGTATGTGAACTGATTAATCATCCAAACTCTTGAGTACCATGTACAAGGCCTTCACTGTTAGTCCACTGTCACCCTTAGTGTTTCTTTTGTAGCCTTTTGAAAACAGGACACTACCCACCGCAGCTCTACCTTCCCCAGCCCCGTGCCAAAAATACTTCTCCTCCTAACTCCTAGCTGTCTCAAACATTGCTCTACCTGAAATACATTTTTAGAGCTTTCCTATAAAATCTTATGCAAACCCCTATTTGTCACTTAGCATACAGTAAAATTAACCAGGTCAAGTAACCCCATCCATTAGATTGGGGTTTTTAAATACAAATCACGACTTCATCTTTGTTTCCTGGGGTTCTGAAATGATTCCTATCAATATTTTCCAAATAAATGACTACATGAACACATAGCTGAAGAAAACTTAGAATAATTGCAGAACTAAGGGTAGGAATCACATGATAACTTCATTTTTTTGTACTTGCAAAGGAATTTGAAATGTACTGACTCAAATAAAATTTCCTTTCTCACCATTTTCTCCCTTGTGGATCATTATGTTGGGAAAACTAAAATGCATGTAAAGCAAATCAGGTGTATTTCACTCACTGTAATCAGGGAGAGGAACATCTCTCTTTAATCTCTATCCTCTTGGCTGAATTTACCTTCAAATCTCATGGGTAGAAAATCCTAGTGTTTGAAAGCTTGCTTGAAAATTTAATCTATCTATCTATCTATTACTATTTTACTTGTACAAATCTGTAGTACACGTTGACATTCCTGGTACATATGCATAACACATCTTAATTCCTTTTTTATCCCTTATCCCTTCTGTCCCACTCTCTATCATTTCTTGATCGCCTTCCCCTTTGAGAATGATCTTTCTCCCTACTTCTTATTATCTACCTTTTATTTTGCTCTCAAATACATACTTTCATGCTTTTTAGAAAGTTGCTATTTTCTTTATTACTATAGGATATCACTGCCAACTTTGAATCAGGTATTAATTACTAAAACATTATTTCTATAGAACTTTACATTTTAGGAAAATAGCCTTATACATTGTCTCATTTGCATCCCAGCACAATTTAAATACCAGCGGGGAAACAGTACAAATAATGTCTCAATTTCTTTAGTTTGCAACTTTATCATTGTAGAATATTTATTAAAGATAAGAGCTTACAGAATTTTTACAAGATTACATACCACTGCTATAAAAACTAAAAAAAAAAGTGCAGCTGCAGTGACATTTACCACACCTGATATAATTCTCACAAATCATGATTTGGTGTATTTCCTTCCTTCCAGGAGTATGTGCAGGGAAAGCTGACAGAGGCGGTGGCCAAGGATACAGGGCATGCTAGATATCCAGGCTAAAGTTTTAGGAATAAAAATAATTTGGGTTTCTGTTATCTACTTATCCCAATGTCTTCTTTCTGTTCATCCTTAAATAATAAAAGGAGCAAAATAAGTTCTCCATTTGTCATGTTTTTAAATCATTTTTTACCAGCTCTCCAGCTTCTTTCTTTGGATTATATCTGAAACGTAGCCTCCAGAACCTTACACCTTGATGCTTTTGAAATGAAAAAATATCCTTGAGTGAGGTAATATTTCAGTGGCTTAGAAGTCATGTTTCATTTTAGTGTAAATGGTTGGTCTAAAGGGGACATTGCACACTGCACAGGGGACCCATTATGAAGGCCCTGAGCACTGCACAACACCAAAGACAATTTAAAAGATATGCCACCCACAAGAAGGCTAGGGCAGAGAAAAGGAAACCGGAGGCATCAAGGACATGACCTTCACCTTTCAAAGTGCTGCTTTTGGACAGCCCTGCTTCAAATCCCCGGAGCAGGGGTCAAAGGAATTTGAACAGGGAGACAGTTGAATTCAGCAAAAGACTTCTTTTTCTTTATAAGGAGAGTTGTTTTTGTCTTATAGAATAAAAAGGGCCCCGGGAGGGGGGATCAGGACTCCACTGGAGCCATGTACCCTAAAAAGAGTGCAAAGCTCAAAACGGAAAATGAAAATCGAATTGTGACTGTGACCACCTGTATCTCTTTCACAGTGTCTCCCTCTGCCACTGACTGTTGCTATGTGTCTGTGGCAAAGAATGGTGACCCCAGAGCAGTCAGAGAAATCAGAAGACACCACTTCAACAAGTATCCAAAAATAGGACAGAGACACCTATCTGCCTGTAGTTGGACATGTTAGGTCATTCGGCTGGGCTGCACTGCTGGAGAAGTCATTTTCCCATTATAGGAAAAGGTAGCGGGGGAAATGATGAGAGAAAGGAAGAGACGTGACTCAGAGCGGGAAGCAGCACGCAGCCAAGGGCAAATATTTCTCACAGACATAAATGGATCAGGAAGAGCTGAGAGCAACAGGTCATCTTTGGAGCATTCTTTTCTTTCCCTGCCTCCCAGTCACTTGTCACTGAGCCCCAACCAGTAACAAAAGGGGAGAGAAGGACAGTAAGCAACTCTTGCTTCCCAAACTGAATAGCACATCAGTTCCAGTCAACTGCTGTCTCAGCTAACTGGGACAGCAAAACAAGGAGCCATTTGGAGAGTTGCAGGGATGAGCGTACCATTTCTCAGGAAGTCAAGTGGCAAAGATTAGTGTGCTTATTTTACTGAGAAGGAACCTGATTGCAATCCTTTATGCACTACATAGCCGGGAGCATTCTGATTTCAGCACAAACAATAACAGGAGGATTCCCATCTGTTGAGTTCTCTTACTTGTTTGTCACTTAGTCACTTAATCAGCACACTAACCCTGTGATGTGGCTTCTATATACCCATTTTCAGATGATGAAACTGATGTGCTGAAGTTGAGGGAATTGGGGATGAATTGGGATTTCAGCCAAGAGAATCTGACACCAGAGTCCATGCTCTGAATCACTGTGGAGAATATGTTCTACTTTCCCTAGGATGTATGCAGAGCTATTCTACACCTTGTTCTGTGCTATACCAAAAATCTTCTTTTTCATCATCTCAATTGTGTTACCTTTTCTGTTTTTCATCCTCCATCACTGGATCCAGTCACATGACATCAACGGGAAGACTTCTCCCGAGCTGGCATCTGCACTGCTATAACTTCATTTCATCCCCTTCTAGTCCATGAGCCCCTCCCCCAGATGTATGCCTTGCTGTCACAGCTGTGTTCTTTCTTTCTATTTTTGATTGCAGTTCCAAACTTCACATTCCACTTTTCCCATCTTTTGTAATTTTCTTAAAATTCCACCACCTTCACACAGATTTCCCCAACAGGTACCACAAGCACAATGATCCACCCGCTCTTCTACACTTCTTTTTTTTTTTTTTTTCTCTTTCTCCCCCTTCTCATCTAGTCCTGCAAATTAAATATTAAGTTTAAGGGTGAGAATTTACAAACTTTTGCCACAAGACAAAGAGAAACTAACTGAAAACTTTAATGATGTAACAAAATTTAATAGTCTTTCTGATTCAAATTTGTAACCTACAAAACACCAAATTAAAGTTACCAATTGAATGTCTAAAATAACAAATAGTTTGACATACACATCTGTCTTACAAAGTGATAGCAGAAACAATTAATACAGAAAAGGCAGCAATATTATTGAACACAGGAAATGATGACATTGGAAAATACAGAAAAGCAAAGCTGAAACCAACCATTCCCTCCAGGTTAGATAAAAGTTTGCTGACATGGCTCCAGGAGTCACACATATTATTTTGGGTCAGTTGGTATAATCCAGATGAAAGGATCACTGGGGAATCTATAACATAGTCAATCAATCTCATATGCAGCATGTGCAGAGGTTGGAAGGGGAGATGGGGGTCTTGATCAACACACTGGAAATAAAACACCAGAACAATCATTTGTTATCATCTAGAAAAAAGAAGTGAGAAAACCATTGAATTCTTTGTATACATTCTATTTAAACAAGAGGAAAATTCTGCGATGATTAAAATTTGAAAATTAACTCCTATGAGAGCATTATCGCTGTTTGCATTATTTGTTCTACAGAGGCCCAAAGGCTCAATAAGCTGTGAAAAATGTGCAAAGAATTCTCTGCACTAAAAGTATTTTCTCTGAAAGAGAAACCCAAAATAAAGTTATTTTGTAGAATTTTTGCGTAGAGTAGGCACACATACAGACACACACAAAACGTTGTGACTATATTCATATAAGGAAAAAATGCCAAGACAGATTATAAAATAATTTTCTTAGAGAACTTTGGCAGTGATAGGCATTAATCTATTTAAGATCAATAAGGTGCAGCCCATGCTTTGCTACACAGTGAACAAAATATTTGTTTAAAGATATCCTTGAAAAATGTTCAGAATTAGGAAAGCAAATCTCACAGCCTCAATCTCATGTTGAATTCTTGAGTGAACTTCACAAAGCAAAAGACTCTTTAAGGTGCAGGATGGTTTTGGATTACTTTGAAGCAGCTCCTAAGAAACAGCTTTGTCCTCTTATAGAATAACAGGTGCTGCCTCAGCTTTTGCTATTCACCAATACCCTTTAGATGAAGGTAATGAGAGTTATTAATATAGCTTCGACCCTTTCATTTAAAAAAAAGAACAAGAAGAACTATCCTGGCTGCTACCCAGCCTGTAATTCTGATTTCACATTCCAAGACTTCAGTTTACAGAAATGGAAAGAACTGCCAGTTCCCTGCAAACAGCTTGGCCAACTTAACTTGTAGGGTTCCCCCTTAAATGATATTTCCTTCAATTTGCTTACAAATATTTCTTGAATAGTATTCTACTTCCTCTTGTTGGGTTGGGATTCCCTGTACGTCATCCAGGCTGCAGTTGTACTGATCTTCCTGTCACGTAAAGACTCCTCTTCAGCATTTTTCAGCAGCTCCCAGATGACAGAGTGGTTGCAAGTCTCTGGACAACCCCGTGAGTAGCAGAGCCCTAAAGAGGGGCTGGAGTAAGACATGGAAGAGGAAGAGGCCATAGTTACGACAAGAGAAAATACTGGCATGTTCATTTGTGTGAGCCTACAGAAAGATCCTACAGGCTGTCCAAAAATTATAATCCCTTACACCTGAGTTAAAACACATTTGCTCTCCCTCTGAACTAATCAAGGTTGACTAAAGCAAAACCAGCAGTGCAGAATTAAACTCCATCATCCAGCATGTACAAACGCTGATGTGGCAATGGCACATTTCTCTGAACTAGAGAAAGAAACTAATTGATAATACAATTATAAGTAATGATCCTTGTAAAGGCCAGGTATACTTTCAAAAGTGAGAAACACTTTATAATGAACAATCACTGACTCGAGGGAAGCAGTGCTTGGTAAATAATTTATCTGCTAGGAAAAAAAACTGAAAGGAAAGAGAGTTTCCTTTTTTAAATAATGGAGCCCTGAGTTAAAGCCAGATGAGTTACAAAACAAAGAGCTTTGCTGAGGATGCCTACCAAATATTTACATTAGCCTAAGAAAAATAGCAAAATGTATTGTTTCCTTATAATTTTGTGGTGTTATTCAGGAGTTAATGTCATTTCTATTCTTTTATTATTTTATTCTAGAAAAAAATGAAATTTTAATTTATTTATTAAAAATAAAGTATGTGGTTTACTAATACACTAAAGGTTCATCTATTATACTATAAAATGGCATATATTTCAGATATAAGCTATATTACATTATGTTATGCCATATATTACATTATGTTTTGCTATCATACTAGGTTTATAAGTTAGTTATATTTTGGTTACATTTATGGAATGTTCACATTTTCAAAGAGTGATCGGTTTGTTTTGCTTGAATATGAGCAAATACAGTCACCATTGCATATCTAAATACTCTACATCTCTCATCTAGATAAAATATAATAATTTGTTTTTTTACCGCTTGGCTCCAATTTCTCTGAAAATTTTTGTGTGCAGAAGTGTTATGTATAGTATTTTTCATCTTGATTTAGGTGTAACTATAGTTTTATTTACCTTATTTTTAAATGAATCTACTCAGATAAAAAAAATTAGCCATGTATTTATCACTCATTTCATGCTTTCTGAACACATATCCTTCAACCATATTAGGTTTTAGCTCTAAGTTTAAACTGAGTCTTCCTATCTCAAAGAGTAATAGAACAATTATTTTGGGAAAGTTTTTATAATCCAGTTATTAAAATAATCAGAGTAAATGGATCATACAAATTCACAGCAGCTAGTTTGATTCCTTGTGTATCATCCTGGTGAGATGACAAATTGATTTTGTCTGGATTGAATTTTGTCTGGACTTCAAGCACAAATAAAAGAATTCAATGAGAGTTTGCTTATCATTTTGCATTTTCTTGAGATTTGGACTTACTTTTATGCTGATAAACAATGCCTTTAGGATTTCATTTTCAGTGGAGGCTAAAATAAGGAATTTAACCCCACAGCTGTAACGGAAGTGTGCAAGTTCAGGAAAAGAGAGGTGAAGAGGATTTAGTAGAGGACACAGGACTGGTTCAAGAGCAGAGTTTGGTGCTCAAATCACTGAGATGAGGCAGGGCACTCGTGGAAAAGCTGTTAATCTCACTATACTCACCGCGGGGTTTGAAGTGGACCCTCCCCTTAGTCCTGCGGTCTCACTGCCCTCTGGGCAGGAGGAAGCTGAAGGAAAAGGCAGTTTGCAGGTGAAAGGGACATGCCCAGGTCTGCTGCTTTGAGGCGTGAATAAATCTGGCTTGTGTTCAGAAGCTGCAGTTTTTCTTTTAAAAGTACGATTTTAAATTCTCAATTTTTGCTCTCCTTTTTATCTAGTTTTATCTCTTCTAGTCTACCTGAGCTCACATCATCTTTTATTTTCAATTTGCTGTTGTGATTATCATTTCAACATGGCCATATAAAGCAAGCCACAGTGGGACTGCAGACCTAGAAATCGCTACGTGATTTCACCAGTGATTTTTGATAGGGTGTGGGAAAGAACTTCGCTTTCTAAATGGAATTGGACACTCAAAGTTTTCCAACTTTATTCCAGGTGTAGGAAATGGTTGTTTTGGAATTGAGTTAACAAAATCTTTGTTGAGAAAAATTTTAATCTGACATAAAGAAGGCTAAATAGAATGAACATACTATTCCACTATCATTTTTGAGTTAATTAGAAGGATAAACGGCCTTCATACGAGGTTATCAATGAAATATAAATATTGAAGGAAGTTCCAAAATTAGGTTTGGAATTTGAAATTGAGAGTTTGCTCAGAAATACTGGCTAGATATCTTAGAGCTGAACTGACACTCTTGGCAGCATTTGATTGAAGGGGAAGGGGAGAAAATGAAGGAAGGATGACACTTGAAGAAATGTTTACTGTGTCCTCTGGTTGCCCCTGGAGCTTTCCACAGACAGCCCCGTCAGCCTTGTGCATAAGGGAAAGATCGCTATGCAGAGAAGCAAAGAGGAGTTTCTTTTTCAAGTTAAAAACCTTGGCCTTGGAGGATTCAGGGTCCAAAAATATTGTTGCCTACTGAAGGGAAATGAAACGAGAAAAAAAAATTTGAAAGTAATATTTGATTTGTCTGTGTCCACAGGTGCAAGCCACAAGTTTAGGGAGCAAAGATTCTTGTGCCTCCTGGTTCTGAACGGGGCCTCCAGGTTTTATGCAAGCAACAGTGTGCATCAGGGCAGGATTTAAAGAGTGACCCTGCTCCAGGATCCTCCCAAGAAAGGAAGGTAAAGCTGGGTGTTGAGTTTGAGACCAGCCTGGGATACATAGTGAGTCCAGGCCAGGCTGAACTACATAGCAAGGAAAAAAAAAAAAAAAAAAAAAAAAGAGGGCATGAAAGTGTCTCTGGCCCTAAGACACATACTGAAGTGCATGAAGGCCAGTGCAGTAGCCTCCTACACAGACCAACACCTGAGGACAGGCAGAGTTTTCAGCAGATGCTAAGATGGAAAGCAAGGAAGATGTTCTCCTGCAACCCCACTCTGAACTCTTGGCAACTCTCATGCCTCTGGAATTGAGATAAAATCCGGACAAAGTGGAAGAATACTAAACACTGACTGAGATGAAGTTCAGCCACCTGAAAGAATGGAGGTTTATGAAAAAAATTAAGTTCAGTTACAGTTCACAAGTGATATTAATAGTATTATGTCCTCCACTTTAAAAACTGAAGTAAAAAAGACAAAATAATTATATATGGTCAAGCGTAATAGCGAGTATTTATCATACTATTTGCTGTATTTGTGTGGTTAAACTATTTTACAATAAAATAATGTGAAGTAAAATATATTTCTGTCCCAAATTTGGTAAACTAAAATGTGGCCCCTGACCCCCATACCTACTAAGATTTAGGTAGTATCCTTAGTGCCTCACCTTACGACATGATCACAGAACCCCTAGTGAGCAGACATCAATTATGCTTTCTATACATTTTTAAGACAAGATCTCCCTACTTAGTTTAGGCTGGCCTCAAACTCTCAGCAATCCTCCTGCTTCAGCCTCCTGTGTGCTAGGATTGCAGACGTGTGCTCTACCCTGGCTACTTGCTTTTCATTTTTATAGATAAGGAAAATGAAGCTAGCTTGAAGAAATAGTATAAAAAAGAATACCTCCTAGCTATTTTGATCAGAAAGTTTTTTTAATAGTTGTTTCCTTATTTCTTAAAGAAACTAAAGGGAATTATTTTTGAAGATTTCTAGAATGGAAAAGCAGGAAGAATCTGACTGAGACTTCCAGCCCGCCAGGGATAAGGAGAGTGATAGCGAGTCTTACTTCATATTGCAAAAAGGGTAAATACGAGATCAAGGGCCCAACGTAATTCCCTGCACAGTTCGTAGGAGGAAGCGAATGAGTTGGTAATAGGTATAAACAGTGATTACTCAGCTGAACACAGAGTCTTTTAGAACACTGACCTTTTTATGCGCTCACATGTAAATACTTACTCTTGGATATGATGGACATGACATGTACCCTCTATTTCTTCCTGCCCTTATCCCAAGAGCCACCAACCTCCTGATGAGTCAATAGCTGACCAGCCTCAGTGCTGTAACTAAAATACAGAATGGCTTATGTGTGGCTCTGCCAGGCAGGGGTTAAAAAAATAACAATTATAGCATCCCTTGTTATAACTCATAACCAGAATTCCTTTTCTAAGCTCATTAGCAAAGAAACATTTGGAAAACCACGGGCTTCTGAGTATGAACAAATGTCAGAAAGATGCCTGCTTCATAAAACTATTGATATCGTTATAAATAGTCAGGCCTTGGGCTACTAATCCTAGAGTGGATTAATATGAAGCTATCGGAGAACATGAAAAACCAAAGGTGATAGGGTTTGGAAAAGGAAGCAGAGCCAAGGGCAAGGACAGAGAAGAGGAAGGGAGGACACAGAGAAAGCCACCACGTTCATAATTTTGCAGACAGGCAGACTCTGCTTATGAGTCCAGTGTCCCAGAAATTAACAGATGCTACAATTATCTATCAAATTTTAAAATGTTTCATTATCCAACACAATTTATTAACAGCAAATATTTTTAGTGTATGTAAACATCAGTTTATTCATTTAAAATGGTTGGTTTTGATCTGGGTCCCAGGTATCTAGTTCTACATTTCTATGCATAACCCATGAGTTGCCCTTTACTGATGTTTCTAAAAAATTAGAGAGCAAATGAGCTGCCATATGTCTATTTTTTTTTGTAAATGATTTGAAGAAAACTATTAACTTGTCTCCAGGCCTAAAGTTATCTGTGAGGATATGTAAGAAAAAAATGCTTACATCATTTATTCATTTCCAATCTTGTTCTTATACTAAGCAAGTTCTTCATTTTCATTTCTTATGAAGTTAGAGCTGATTCTCCAAGTTAGCTTTTATAACCAGAGTATGATCTGTTTCTCTTTGGTGCCGGCTTCTTGTTGAGGCAGGTTGCTTAAATAGCTTGCAGTTTTTCCATTCATTAGGAATTCATTCTGGCATTGAAAATGCTTCACTGATTATTACGATTCGTGTGCTGCTGTTGATTCGACTTCATCATGGACTTCCCCAGCAAGGTTGCTTTCCTGCTGGATACTAGTTAAGCATTTACCCAGAGACCTCCCCAGAAGGCCCTCTTTTTTTGCTGGAATGCAAGACAAGCCCCCCCTCCATGTATGTGTGTGTGTGTGTGTGTGTGTGTGTGTGTGTGTGTTTCTGTGGACTTTTTCATAGTCAAGATTACTCATCACAGCTGAAAACTCAGTAACAATAATTGGGAAACAGTTTCCACATTTTTCCATAGAACAGAACCCCCAACTGCTTGACAGCAAACATTCATGGAAGATGACAAGATGACTTATGTGAACAGTCATCTCTTAACAGCATCAGGGGTGTTCCAGATATTATACAACATGTTGAACTGGATGCTGTCCTTTCAGCATATCACATTTGTTAACACATAATTTGTTTTAAAAATTTAGGTAATTTGGCAGAAATAAAATTGAGCAAGCTCAACTTTTGGATGATCTTTAGTTTTCTACTGATGAATGCCAGCATAAAGACATCCAACATGAGTGAAAATATGACATCTGCCCTGCCATTCCTTCTTGAAACTGGTCCACCCCAAGAAAGAAAGAAAGGAAGAAAGGAAGAAAGAAAGATTTAATGCCAGTTACCCTGATTTCAGTGCATGTTGCATGCATGTGCTGACATATCAGTGTCCCATTAAATGTACATTTATTACAGACTTAATAATCAAAGATATTAACAATGGTTTGCACTGCTATCAAAAGTACCCTGCCCTTCACAGTCTCTTGTATTCTCATCTTTTCTCTCCAGTTAATCGACTCTTTCAGGTTTCTATTCTTTATTTCCCTATTTACACAGTCAGTATTTTCAACTTACCCTGTGTAATTCTAGGTGTGCTCAGTTTTTGTTATTTCAAGTCATTTCAAGGATTCTGATTTCTTAAGGCTCCTTAAATAAAACATTCTTTCATTCTTTGGATATTCACTTTCCTACTGACTTATAGCAAAAACGTAAAATGACTAAAATTTACTAATTTTTCTCACGCTGTTTTATAATACGGTAACAAGAGAAGTCTCGAATTCAAAACTGATATTTTAATTGCTAACTTTAAAAAAAATCTACTCATTTTGTCGAAAAGTCAAATCTTCCCTCACAGCCAAGCATATTTTAAAAAATAAATCCTCTCTAGTAATAAACTTGTAACTCCAATTAAATTTTCTACAATTGTAAATATTCAATATGTTTTCACAAGGACAACATAACCTGTTGGCATGAATTTCTTCTATTCTAAAAGTTCAGTCATAAAACTAGAGCAAAGTTGAACATCATTTCTTATTTCAAAGCGTTCCAGGGGCGCCACAGAAGCGGGCAGGAAACATTACATTCTGCCTGCCTGCATCTCCACCTTTCCATCCACACTGACTGATGTACAGGAGGGTCACCAAAAGCAGGCCACACACTGGCACCCACAACGATGCCTTCCTTGTGTGTAGAGATGTGAATGGTTCCTAAAAGTGCCCAGCCATTTTCCATGCCTTCCTCTGTGAGACGAAAGACAGATGTGTCTCAGGCAGCAATAGAAGTGGGGCAGTGAGGGACAAGATGGCTTAGGCCAAGGTCAAATCCCTTCTGCCGCCTGGTCGCCCATACTGGGCTTCTCTGAAGGCTCCGAGGCTTCCTCCACGCTGCTGAGATGATGCACTGAGCCAACATTCGCTCACCTCAAAACGCCTCCCCACGGTTCAGAACTGGGAAAACAAAACGTGGCCCCGGGTCGGAAATATGTGCCCAAACCGCCCAGCGCCCGAGAACGCTTGCTCACCGCTCTGGGCTCCCCGCCCTCTGCTGCCAGAGCCTTGGGGATGTGCCTAGACCCGGCGCAGAGCGCGCCCGGCCGACTGCGCGCAGAACAAACCCCTGGCGGGCGGCCAGGAGGCTCCCTCCCAGCCACCGCCCCTCGCCAGCGCCTTTCCCCCCGCTTCCCATACAACACAAGATCTTCCTTCCTCAGTTCCCTTAAATCACAAGCCCAGGGAAACCTCCGCAGAGCCTCCATCCAGCCACGCGCCAGCATGTCTGGGGGCAAATACGTAGACTCGGAGGTAGGCTTGGGTGGGGCGCGCCGTCCCGGGGCGCGTGGAGTGCCCGCTTCTGCTATCTCCCACTCCAAATACCCGGCTGCTTTCCTGGCCCCAGCCCTCGCCCCACTTCGGAGCACTCCTCTCGCGTTGGCGCCGCCGAGGAATGGGCCTGGGCGGGGAGGCGAAGAGAAAGAAGCCAGGAATGTTTTGCGCTTTTCTCTCCGGGAGGGGACCGAGGGAGCCCGAGGTCCAGACCCTGGAGAAGGGAGGGGTCGCGGTCCCGGGTCGGACGTGCGGGGCCGAAGACACGTTTTCCGGGTGTGTCCAAGGAGTGTCCCCGTCGTAGGACCCCCACGGAACAGGCCCCCGCCTCCGGGAGGCGCGCGGCGGCAGCGCGGACGCGGGGTCCCGTCCCGCCAGGCGTTGGGGCGGCGCGCCGGGCAGCGCGCGCGTTTGCACGTCTGCGAAGTTCTAGGGCCACCGCAAGAACTCTCCCCGCGTCTGCTCGGACGCTCCAACGGCGGGCGGGGAGGGGTGGGGGGAGTCCATCCCTACCAGCTACCTCCTGCGCCCCCACTCCACCCGGGGGTGGAGACCTCGCCACCCTTTCGCGTGCTCACTCAGCCGACCGCTGGCAGCTTGGGGGTGGCCTGAGGGTGCGCCGAGGGGTTGTGCAGGTGAGACTCGATGATAGGAAGTTTAGAGGGCCTGAAGGGGACCCGCTCAGGGAAGGGAATTATTTCTCTTGTGGCTTGTTATTGCACTTGACAGGGGGACAACTGGGGAGGAGCAAAGTGGAGTGGAGGAAAAGTAGAGGCGCTGGCAGGTGAGAGGGTGATGCTGTTGGGAAGGAGGTCAGGAGGTCACGGCTGCATCTTCAGCATAAACTGGAAGGGAGGGACACGGGGAAGGGAGCGGGGCCGGGCGGGCAATGGAGCAGGTGAAGCAGGAGGCGCGGGCGCAGCGGCCGTGGGCAGGCGGTCTCGCCCCTCGCCGGGGCGCGCGGTGCCGGGCGCGCGGGGGCAGCCCTGACCCCTGGCGGCCGGCGGGAGGCCGCGCTCCCTGCCTGGTACCGAGGGGTGTGGTGTCCTCGCCTCGATCCGCTTAAAAAGCTGGCGGCGCGCGCAGGAGTTTTCTATGCGCGAAGCTGTCGCTGTGGACGCGGTTAGTTCGATTTCGAGCTCGAGGTTTCCCCCGCCCCCAGGCTGACTTCTGACGCTTGCTTTCCTTTTTTAATCGTTCTTCCCTTCGCCGTTCCCGTCGTCCTTCTCCTGGCCATCTGCCCTTCGCAGGGACATCTGTACACTGTGCCCATTCGGGAGCAGGGCAACATCTACAAGCCCAACAACAAGGCCATGGCAGACGAAGTGAGCGAGAAACAAGTGTACGACGCGCACACCAAAGAGATCGACCTGGTCAACCGCGACCCCAAGCATCTAAACGACGACGTGGTCAAGGTAAGATGAGGGTGCAGGCCAGGACGCGACGTGTCCGCGGGCCATGTCGGGTCCGAGAGCCTGTCCTGGCAGACAGCTGGGACCCTTCTGGCTTCACTGCATTCGCACTGTTTTCTAGGCTTGGTGTGTGTGTGTGTGTGGGGGGGTGCTTCTGTGGTCCTCAAAGCTATCACCTCCCCCACACCCCACCCCTCCCTTCATCACCCTCCCCACCCCCCTACCCCCGCGGCTAGGTTCAGCTCTGACTTAGCCCAAGTGCCCTTGGTAGGAGTTCCCTAGGACTACACTTTTCTCCTGGCAAAGGAACCTCCTGACCTCAGCCACAGTGATTCCAGAGTCTTTGGGAGGAGGAGAAGGTGACAGTCTAGTGACAGTCCCTTTGCACATGGGATTAAGGTAATGAAATGGTTGCCTAAGGGCTTGAGCCAGGACTGCAAGCTGGAATATAGAGTGAGCATTTTCTCCAGCTAAAATAATCTGAAATGATCTCTTTAAAAACAAAACAAAACAAACAATATCTATATATGGACAGGCATAAAACTAATGGCAAAAATTATGTACTTATATTTATGAGAGGTGTTTTAACTGGCCCTTGCGTACAGCCCTTGTGCACAGCTAAGCCAATTTACAAAACCAGAAATAATGTGCACCTCATGGTTTCTCCTGTAAATACCTCTTGTGTGAAAAGTTGCTTCT